CTTGCTAGCCTTGTTTATTCCTGGGCTTCTCCACCTCCTGCCTGGATGTCCTACACAGGTGATTAGGGAGTCTAATTGAGTCGGCTGTAAAAAGATAATTAATTGACATTTCCCTCCCGGAGAGGTCAAGCTGCCCGATCTCCCTGGCTCAGCCTCCGTTCCCAGTCACCCCTCCCTGGGGGCAGCGCAGTGACCTTTATCTTGCTGATAAAGCCGTAATTGTTGTAATTAAAATCTACAGAAAGGCTTCAGAAGTAACTCCCCAGAGCCCAGTCAGGCATCTGCTTGCAGGGGCCCCTGCCTGGGGGGTCGGCCTGCTGGGGCGAGCCCCCCAGGACGCACGGGAGCAGCTCAGTGGCCCCTGGAGGCTAAGGCAGGACCCTCACTTGAGAACCACTCCCCTTGGGAGCCTGAGGGAAGGCGGGATGCTTCTTTCTCTTGGGGCCACGGAGCCCGGGCTGAGAATACCTGCTGCATTCCCAGGAGGTTTGATGCCCGTTGAAGTCGCTCGCTAGGGTGGGCTGGAAACGGCCCAGCCCACAGGTGGGAAGAGCGGGGTTTGCGGCCGTCGCCGTGTGCCTGGGGGTCTCTGCAGCTCTTTTATCAAGTGGGGTCTTACTTCGTTTGGGTGGCACCTGCCAGCAGCCTCTTAGCCTTTCCTCTTTGGACATTTGGCCTCAGGGGGCCGTGTTTGCCCACAGGGTGGACGGGGTGAGGAAGGGGCTGCAGAGGCAGAAGGGTTGGGGCTCTCGGCCACCCTGTGGCAGCAGGGACAGGGCCGCTGGGACATCGCACCCGCAGCCACGTCCCAAGGCCAGGGCCATGAGCAGAGGCCAGAGGGGCCAAGCAGCCAGAAGGCCCAGGGTGGCAGCGGTCGTGAGCAAGGAGACATGTGATTTGCGGGTGCGGCCTGTCCTGGAGGCCCTGCGCCAGGGGGCTTGACCGGTGCTCGGGGTCCAGAAAGTCAGTGGGAGTTTGGAGCAGGTGGGGACAGCCCTTGATTGTGAATCCATGTGCTGGGGCGTCGGAGGGCGGGGACAGGAGCGTCAGAGCTGCAGCCGAGAGGTTGGGCAATGGCCTAGACCCCACAATGGCAGCCATGGAAAGACCAGGATTGGGGGACATCGACGAAGGGTGGGACAGAATCGAGGATGTCACCCACATTCCTTGCCCAGCAACCAGGTCAAGGGTGGGGCCTCTCACCAAGAGGGGGAGACTAAGCTGCAGGAGGGCGGGAGTTGGGTCTGGGGGACCCCAAGCTCCATGTCCAGGAGACAGTGCTTAGAGGTGTCTGCAGGGAGCTGGAGCCGGATGTCTGGTCCGCAGAGGAGGCAGAAGTTGGGGGTCATCTGGGTAAGTGTGGTGCTCGCTTCCGTGGGGCGTGGGGGAGTGTGGACAGAGGAGAGAAGAGGCTGGCCCCCACCTGGGGCAGCCGGCAAAGCCCCGGGGAGGGAGCCAACAGAGGCAGGAGAGAGAGGTCAGCTGAGGCCACTGACGCCGCGGAGCAGGTGGGGCCAGAGCAAGGCTACGCTGACATCAGGGGAGGGGCCACTGGGCCGCTGTCATGGGAATCCTGGATTGTCAACAAACGGAGAAGCTTTGCACTGACCGACCTCCTGCTACGGGGCAGACGGTGCCCTGAGCAGATGCAGCTTTGAATGAGTTCAAGCTCCTAAGCAAACTAGAGAGCCCTGTGCTCTGGGGGAGAGCAGAATCCCCAGGCCTCTCCTGGACCGCCCGTGAGCTCCTCCTCTCTGGCAGGGGAAGGGCAAGCTCCCTACGAGGCTTCCGGGGCTTCTCGGCCCCCACGGCCACCACGCTGTCTCCCCAGACTGTATCCGATCAGGCCTCAGCACCACCCACCCAACACGTGCTCTGCGCCACAGTCCGGCACAGCCACGGCCGGCTTGGCCTGCCCTACGTCACATGTGTAGAGCAACCAGGGGCTGAGTGACTGACTGTTCAGACAGGCCAGGAAGCCACGGTCCAGCTGACACCAAGGAGCCAAAGGAGGTGGGAGGGGAGGTGTCCAAGAAGAGAGGTCAGCGTGCATGGCTGGAGCTTGGCCAGCCTGGCTTCCCATGAAGGCCACTGTTGCAGCCGCGTGGAGAACGGATCAAAGTGGGGTAGGAGGACCCAGGAGTCCTGCCAAGGGTAGCGCTGGTGTCGGGTGGGAAGTGCCAGGCCGGGCGAGGGTGGGACGGGCGAGGGAGAGCATCAGTGCATTCAGATTCGAGTCTATTTCGAAGGCAGAACTGATGTCGCTGCTGCTGCTGCAGAAATTCTGGGGGTGAAAGAAGAGAGGGGTTGACTGATGGCTGTCCCCCGGGCTTCCGGCTCGGGCACCTGGGGGTGGGGTGCCAATCACCAGGCAAGGTGGTGGGCAGATTTGGAGGTCCCATCTGAGAAGTATGTGAGACCAACAAGTGGAGATGGGAGGATGGCGGTCAGATGTGCGAGCCCAGCGTGGTCAGTGTGCCGTCACGTTTGTGGGGAACATGCTCTCGTCAGCGATAGACGCACCTCGGTTTCTTGTGTCCGGGTCATCCCCCTTCCAAAGGCTGCACCTCTTGCCCAGTCTTCCTCCCACCCCCGTCACAGCAGAACTCCCCTCTTTGTAGGGCTGTCCCATTGGGTCAGATAAGCTTCCCTACTCCCCGTCCAGGCCAGGGACGTGGCATGGACTCCTGGGTTCCAATGTGCCTGAATCTAGATGGTCCCCTCCTAGGACTGCAGACATAACTGCTTTTTTGTTTTGAGCCAGTCCGTATTGGGTTTCTTTCACTTGCAGCAAAAGGGTCTTAGAGCCTCCTTTCCCTTTGTCCTCGGACAATGAGCGGCATGGAGGCAAACTTCTGCCACCGTGCGCAGGTGATCCCAAATGTCCGATCTTGTCAGCAGAACGATGGAGGCTTTGCCGAGCGGTCATCTGTTTCTCCGTGCCGAGTCAGCTGGTTGATTTCAGTGACGTTCGTGCTACCCGGTAGAGCATGGTAGCTGACATCGTGGCTCCCCCTTAACTCTCTGAGCCCTGGGTTCTCTTCACTCAAGTGGCAATGATGACAGAACCTCTGCTCCGAGGGGCCATGACGTTTCCCTGAGACTCTGCCTGCAAGTGCTTGGCGCCAAGTTGGTGCATCAGCCACTGTGACTGTTGAGAGAGCAGACTCTTCAAACAGCTCAGTCGGAGCCCCCAAACCGAGGGAGGCAGCAGCCTCCAGGCTTGGTTTGGGTGGACGTTGATTTTCACACCAGATGCGTTTTCCAACCCCCTCTTCTTGCCCCCATGTCCCCCAGAAATGGCGGCTGTGGGTCCAGGTTGGACGCTGCTGCTGTTGGAGGAACCAGCAGCTCAGTGCTCGCCTTCTGGGACCCACTAACGCACGGTCACCTTTGCAGAGGGTTATTAGGATACAGAGCTGAGGTCTTTATTGTCCAGAGGTGTCGATAAAAAAGGTAGTCAAAGTTCGCTCCTCTCGAGTCCACGTGGAAACTGGCAGTGCGTTAAGAAATGGAAATGATGCCGTCAGCAGTGCAGTTCCCACTCATTGCCCAGGACGTAAATAGTGCGAGGACAGCAAAAGCTAATGGAGAGGAGGACATTAGTTAAAGAACGTCCTTGTGGAAGGAAAGACTGTACTTTTTATAATGCAGCATAATGATGAAATTAAGACACCTCTGAGAGAAATAATCCCCACCTGTAATCTGGGGTCACTTCTGGGCCCGTCTCTACTTCTCCCTGCAGAAGCTGGGCTCAGGGGAAGGCGCGTGAATGCCTGCATCCAGTGCCCGGGTGAGAGTCGCCCCTCCACTCACCCAGAGCCCCCCTCGAGGGTCCCCCCTGCAGAGTCTGTTAGCAAGAGTGTCCTGCCCCCTCGTCCCCCTCCAGCCGTTCCCACGGCCCCAGCCAGCCACCTCTCCGAGGCTTGGCCAGCTCCTGCTGGCAGCTCTTCCCAGATGGTGAGCTGGGTAGGGGCCCTCAGGTCAGAGGGCAGTAGGGAGAGCCCGGGAGCCTGGCCCCCATAGGATAGAGGGGCCTGCTGCGTGCATGTTTGGGACGGTCCTGGGGTGGCCCCTGCACCAACCTAACGTCACATCATCACCATCTGGTCTCAGCCACTGACTTTCTGAGCAAAAGAGATGGAGGGAGGGGGCAGCTGGGGCTGCAGCCCACCTGCGGGTGAGGCTGAGCCTGCGGACTGGACCGCCAGAGGAAATGCCCTCGTCACCCTCACACTCTGGGACCCCTGCGAGCGGAGGGGTGCAGGATGCCTGGATGGGCAGGGGTCCACAGTGGGGGTACTCCCTGCAGGGACAGACAGGCCAAGCCATTTTTGGGTGCCAGAGGATGTCGAGGTCTCCTGGGGGCTGTTGCCCCTCGTGGGGGCTGGTGCCTAGCGGCAGCTTCCATGCCCCACACTTGTCACAGTGTGGCCAGTACCACCGTAGCACACTGCCATTGTTGAGTAGAGATGTCCTTCTCTGCTACACCGTTCAGAAGAGGGTGCTGGGCTCTGCTGGGCCAAGCACGGGGCCCCCGACCTGCGGCCTGTCCAGATCTTGCCCCAGACACTCAAGGCCTTAGCCGGTGGGAGCATTATGGTAAGAGACCCTCTCAGCCCCAAAGGATTGGCCTGCCAGGCCCTGATGGTGGACCCCTGATGATGAGAAGGCGTCGAGGGGCTGTGGGTCCCAAAGTACACCCACTGTCGAGCCCGTTCTGTCTATAGCAGGGTGGCCAGGGGAGTGCCAGGACCAAGTTGTGTCTTTGTCGCTGCCCTGCCCCCCACCTGGCCACTCACCTGGAGATGGCCACGTGGCCAGAGTTCTGGGCAGCAGGGACAGGCCCCCAGACCCCCATGGCTGCCTCTGGCCCGACCACCTCAGCTGCAGAAGCTGTACTCCAGAGGCCACGTGAGCAGCTCTTTCTGATCTGTGCTTCGTGGTGCTAAAGGGCTCTTCTGCTCTTCATTCTCCTGGAAAAGCCTCTTTCTCCTTAGGTGGGGGATGCAAGCCCTGCTGTCCTGAGGACTGTCAGAGAGTGGAGCGAGGCTGTGCCCAGTTCATGGACGTCCGCCTTGGGCCCCCTCCGCCTGGGTACCACCCTGTGCTGTTCCTGGGCGGCGTCCACAAGGTAGGGGCAGGAGACGCCCCCAGGGCTCAGCCCACACGCTGCCCAACACTGAGGCCAGTGTGTCCGGGGTGCTCGGGGTGGACCTCCCCGGAGAGCCCCTCTGAGCCCCTCCCACCCCCGCTCCTTCTAGAAGGCAGGCAACAGTCCCAGAAGCTGCCTGGGCCCCATGAGGACGGCGCCCACCACACAGGACCCACCAGGAGGCAGCAGGTAGGAGAGGTCGACCCCACTCATGGGTGTTTGGGGGGGTTAGTCTGGCCTCCCCCCAGCTGGGCCATGGGTGGGGCCTCCCAGGTGTGTGCATTCATGGGCGGGAGCTGAGGACACCCTTCTCCACAAACCTGCCTCAGTTTCTCCCGGGTGTGCAACACTGCGGACACGGCGGGCAAGGCCTCCGTCTGCCCAGGGGTTGCAAAGGCTCCTGTGGCTGGCAGGACAGGGGCTGAGTTGGCTCCCTCAGCGGCAGCCCAGGGCCTGGTCTAGGACAGTGATGCCACCCACACCGAGGGCCCTCCCTGGGAAAGGGCAGCGGGAGAGTTGCCCCGCTGTCCCCGGTGGCTGACAGTCCCCGCTCGGCGACTCGCTCAGGCGGGTCCGCAGTAGGCAGCGCAGAGCAGTCTGCTTCCTGCAGAAGCGCGCCGGTGGCAAGGGCAGCCTCACGGGGCCTCCTTCCTCAGGGGCCGCGTGCACAGAGGTGAGAGGGGCCCAGCGGCGGGCAGGGCGGTGGGAGCACATCGGCCTGGTGCTGGCACTGCAAGTTCCTTACTGTTCCGTGCCAGGCCACTGCGGGCCGCCACGTGCCAGAGCCGTAAGTAGCCCATCCTACAGAGGCGGCTCATCCAAATCCAGTTTGGATTTTCCTTTGACAAATTAGAGAGGGCTGTACGTCGCCGTGTGGGGAGCCAAAGAGACACTCCTTCTGTCGCTCCTTCTGGGTGACATGCTCTTCCCAGCCCGCCATCCTGCCGGGAGGAAGGCTGAATTCCAGAGAAAGGTTTCCAGGCCTCTGCTTGCAGGAGCAGCTTGTCCCTGCCAACCCACGCAGCCACGGAAGGCTCCGGTGCGACTGACCCTGCCTCCGTCTGCCCAGGCCCCCAGCACCGGGGGCCATGGGGAGCTGGCTGCGGCGCGCTGCAGAGCACGGGTGGGTCCCTGCAGAGTGGCCAGTGCTGCCCGCCCCTGCCTCCAGTGGGTTCCTTTGCAGTGGAAGCTGTGAGGTGCGGCCGAGCAGGGCAGACCTGGGGCTGGACGCAGGACGTCCTGGCACCATGGCGCACTGACCCCGAGAAAAATCACCCACTCTTTTTTTTTTTTGAGAAAGACTATCCCTGAGCTAACATCTGCCAATCCTCCTCTTTTTGCTGAGGAAGACTGGTTCTGAGCTAACATCTGTGCCCATCTTCCTCTACTTTATATGTGGGACGCCTGCCACGGCATGGCTTGCCAAGTGGTGCCATGTCCACACCTGGGATCTGAACCAGCGAACCCCAGGCCGCCAAAGCGGAACTTGTGCACTTAACCACTGTGCCACCGGGCCTGCCCAATCACCCACTCTTGAAAGATGTGAGCCCTCCCTCTGGGGACAGGCAGGCCCAGGCCCTGGGGGCTGGGGGGTGGGAGAACATCACTCCTTGGGGGGCGGAGAAGAGCCTCAGGGGCCAGTAAGGGCGCCAGGCCTTCCAAGACGCCCGCCAGCTGCCCAGGCCGGGCTTTGACCCGAGCATGCGGCCTCGTCAGCCTGCAGAAGCCAAAGTCAGTGCACCATGGACACCTCACTCTGCCTGGGATGACTCTGCTTCTCCTCCCACCCAACTCAGGGGCATGCACTGAAATAGCCATGCAGAAAGCAGAGCTGTGGGCACAGATCCGACCAGGAGTCTAGGAAAATCAGGAATTCCGTGGAAACGGGAAGGAAGCCTGCAGCGTCCGTCTCGAGCCACAGCAGCCTGCTGACGCTCCTGCAATTAGATTGCTCATCGGTGACGCTAGTGGGCGTGGGACGAGCTGGGAACACTCGGAGGCTGGCACGGTGTCGGCAGGCAGACCAGCCTCTGATCCACTCTCGAGGTCTCTCCAGTGGAAGGTGCCGTCCTCTGTGTTGCTCTGAGCCACGTATGTGAATTAAACATGAAGCTCGCTTGACACAAAAACTGGAGAAGCACAGACTTAAAAAAAAAAGCCAAGATCCTGCTAAGCAGGGAGCTCCCACGTGTGCGCGGTGTTTCCATCGCAGGAACGTAGGTGAGAGCCAAGAGCCGAAACCACCAAGAACCGTCCACACAACGTGCACGCACCCCAGTGCTCAGGGCAGACTTGCTGCCTGGTTTGGTAACTGTGGCAGCTCAGCAGCTGAGGCTGATGTTGAGCCATCTTATTTCAGCAGAAAGAAGGCCCTCGCTGTCCGATTCCTCCTGGGAAAGCGGAGGGAGCAGCCAGCTCATGCTCCCACCAGCCCGGGCCACTAAGGGCTTTCGAGGCACATGAAACGAAGTGTCCCACAGCAGGTCGTCATCATCCAGGAAGGGACACGCAGAATCGGAGTTGGTCTCAAGAGGCTCCACGTCTCTTTGAACATGAGCTCGTGACCAGCGACCTGGCTCATTTCCACCCATATCCGAGGTTCCTTGGAGCCGAGCCTCAAGGCGCAGGGTGGACGCCCGAGGGCGAGGCCGGCCCATCCTCCCCAGGGAGCCCTGTCCATGCGGCTGAGCTCATGTCTTCCGGATACAGCAGCCCTGGAGAGATGTTTTTAATCCTGACCCCCCTGTGGCTCACGACCCCAGCCGTCAGCTGCAGGGCCCTGTCTGCAGAGCTCCCACTGGCCTGGAGCAGCAACCGGTTAAACAGACACGTCTGAGCGTCGACATGCAAGCCCAAGACTCCCCCCAGGGCCCCAAGCTCTGCATCCTCCCTGCCTCTGACCCCATCCGGGTGTTTGTGGGACCCCTGTCCCCCACCTGGGGAAGAGTGTAGGGGAGCCTGCCCGTGTCCCCGGCGCCCCCTGCCTGCTCTGCCTGGGGACGTGGGCTGTCTTCACTGCCCCCCACTGGCTTCCTTACTCTGGTTCTGGCACCAGCTCCCTGCGCCAGTGTCCGAACCTGGCTCTTGACCCAAAAAGCCCACCCTTTGGGATTCTAAGAAAACGGTACTTGGCAAATTCACCTGGTCTGCATGAAGAATCTGCACCCAGTCGTGGGGTCCGTTCCCTGCGGGGTCCCCCAGGAGCAGGGCGTGTGGGCGCGAAGGGCTTGCCGCCATGTGAAGGAGGCCAAGTTGGGGACCTGGGAATGAGCAGCTCCTGAGGCCCTGTAAGCCCCACCCCGACTCTCGTTTGTAAGTGACAGACCCACGTGGGGGCAGAGAGGGGCTTGTGGCTTCCACAACCAGCAGGCCCTCGGCACTTCCTGCCCGGGACGTTCTGGCCACCCCCAGTTCCCATTCAGCTCGACACGTGGTGGCCTCCTTGCTGATCCCAAGGACCCTCCACGATGCCATCTCACAGATGTCTCAGCTTCCTGGGAGGCCCCTCCTTCTATAACGGAGAGCGGGCCTGCTGGGCCCAACCCAGCTGCTGAGATGGGGCGCAGGGCCCCATCGGGCCTCCCCCTGGCTTCCTCCCCACCAGGCTGGCTCAGGCAAACGTGGGGCCCGCAGGCCCGGTGCCCTGTCCAGCAAGGGCAGCCCGCGCCTCCCTCGAAATCCGTAATCCTGCATTGCTTGGTTTGCTATGATCTGCCTCCCAGTTCCCGAGTGAGCCCCCTGCGGGGAGGGCTGCAGGGGGACGACCAGAGGGGAGTGACTGACAGGCTAAGGCTGGTAGAGGCCGGCCTGGGGGCAGCCCGCGGTCTTACCCTGTGACAACAAAGGGGCCACACCCAAGACACCCTCCAGGGACACAGACCAGCGGTCACTCCTGGTACAGCCCAAGGCCAGTCCGAGGCCGCCCTGCGGCCACCCCCCGATGCCGGCTTGCCCCTTCTCTGTGCCCCCCAGCAAGCCCCGGAGCCACCCCTGCTCACGGGCGTGTTTTCCCTCCTGCCTCCCGTCGCTGAAGCTGCGGTATTGACGGCAGCTCATCGCGAGCTGCACAGTTGTATCTTCTGCTTGTCCGAGTGTCGGGCTGACTGGCGAACATTTGCTCCAGCGGCAAGGTTCGTGGGAGCGAGGTGGAAGTGTATGTAGACTGCTCCCACGTCCCAGAACCCTGCATGCCCATGCCCCTGCCATGCCCACGTCCCCGCCACGGCAGGCACGCCCACATCCCCCTGCCAGGCAGGCGTGCACCGCGACATCTTGTCGGCAAGTATGCAGCACAGCTGGAAGCCCTCCCGCTCCCCTCAAGCCCGCACCGGCGGCCTGGTCTGGGGCTGTTGGATGCGGGGGCACAGTGGCCTGCATCGTGTCTGACGCCTAGACGAAGAGCTCCCACTGGCAGGGGACAGCAGAGCCGCCGGGCTGACACGCATGTCCGGGCCCATGAGCAGCTTTTGGCCTCTGTGTCGGACCCCAAGGTCCAGGGGGAGAAGGAGAAGCCGCCAAGTTCAGATGGCCGCCATCCTGCCTGGGGCCACCCGAGTGGGGACCGATGGCAGGCCAGCCGGTGTCTCAGCTTCTGCTGTCTGTGCAAGTGGTCAGGATGGCCGGGCTGTGGGGCTGGGGACAGGGCCTGCTGACAGTGAGGCCCCGGGGCCAGTCTCACCCTCAAAACAGCCTCAGCCGTGCCCACACGCCTGCGCGGCCCCACAGACAGGAGCCGCCTTCCGTGTCTGCTGGGGGCCCCTGGGAAGGACCAGGCTGACCCGCCTGCCCCCGGGTCGCCTGTTCCCTCCGCCTGGTGGCCCCTCAGAACCACAGCGAACCTCATACTTGCTCATTATTGGCTTTGCCTGAGTCGGTCTCGTCCCACATCAGCCGTCTCCCTCCCGGCCAGGGGCTCATACAGTGGACATGACTGGGACAGGCGCCTCCTCATCTCACAGAGACGAGCAGTGACACGCCACCCACCCGTAACTTCTCTCGGAGCCGAGTGCTGGTTTTTGATTTACATAAAAGGGTAGAGTGCTCAGGGGAACCATTCGCTTCTGTTACAACTTTCAGGCACAGTTCTGTAGTATCTTCCTTGACTAAGAAAAATTACCTTTGTGCTCCCAAAGAAGGCATTTCGGTGGAGGGGAGAGGGGCGAAGGGTCCGGCAGGTGCCACGGGGCCTTCCCAGAGCCACATGACCGGCCCTTGCCCCTCCGGCAGACCCGCCCTGACTGTTTGCTCTCAGGGGTGTGTGCCCCACAGGGCAGCAGTGCCCAGGGACAGCCAATCCTGAGGGGCCCAGCCCCCAGCCCACTTGGGGCCCCTCACCACACAGTCCCCCACCCCTCGGAGGGAGCAAGGAAGGGTTTGCGCCGACCCCCCCACCCCAGGCAGAGGCCCTGCTGGTAAGGCCCTGGGTGTGGATGACGGGGAGGGGCTGGCAGGGGTCCTGGGCCAGGTCCTGGGGGTCATGGAAGGGACCGACGTGCATGGAGCTCCGGCTTTTCCCTATTGTTATGTAAGTGGCTTCTTCGCTGTCTCAAATCTGGTCCTGAGTGGCTGCCTCACTGCTGTCAGTGGATCTGCTCTGGTCCCCTGTCCCCAGACACTGGACCAGCTTGTTGGAGGGGAGACAGCACACGGATGGGGCAGCCCCTCCACGCGGACCTGGGAGTCGGCTGAAGGCCCTGCATGCAGTGCGGCTGCCCCGGGCCAGCAGGGTTCATCACCGGCCCCTCGCTGCATTCCTGCGGGGACATTCCTGGCATATTACGGAATTTCACAACATGACACAGAGCTCTGTCAGTTCCTGGATGATGTGAAATTGTGTCAGCTGCAAAAGATGGACTCGATTTCACAAACGCAGCCCTGAGGTTGCCCAGCCAAACAGGGGAATTGCCCTGAAGTGGGGGGCACGCAGCTCTGGTTGCGTTTTCCCCAGAAATCCTAAATGCCTCGTGACAGGAAAGCGCGGCCGCCTGCAACCCCGTCGGCCGGAGAGGAGATGCTGTCAGCCAGCTCTGTGTGCGGGAGCTTACAGCGCGACCTCGCCCGGGAGTGCTCATTGACAGCTCAGCCCAGGCCCCACCCCGAGCAACACTCGGGCCACCAGAGCCCCTCCTCCGCTCACTCGGAGAAAAATGGCTTTAATTAAGACTTCCGTGATTAGTCATTTAATCAGTCATTAGGCCAACACAGATGGAGCCAATTAATTTTTTTTCCTTGAATAGATAGTTGATGCTCGCAGCCCGCGTAGCCCCCCCCGGCACACAGTCATGGGCGACCATCACGCGTCTCAGGCAGGTCTCTGTCCCCTTCAAAAGGCTGCCCCGTGGAACACCCAAGCCAGCACCCTGGGCTGCTCACCCACCCCAACCCGGGGACGCAGGACGACCCGCCATCTGCCCCCTGTCTGCCGCGTCACCACAACAGCTCTGAGAGGCAGGATGCTGTCCTATGAGCCACCACTGGCCACCCCACTGGGACCGGAGATGCTCTGGGCAGGAGCCACCAGGGTCAGCAGGGTCCTAAAGAGGACAGGCTGGGGGTGGTGACCTGTCCTTTCTCTGCGCGCCAGCCACAGCGGGTGGGCTGGGCCCGGTCTGGCGGGCCTGGCCGGTGAAGCAGCCAGAGCCAGGTGCGCACCTGCCAGGCCAGCTGGTGCAGCGAGACCTGCAGAACACAGCCACGAGCCCTCAGGCCCACGCTGGGCAGACGCCGCCAGGAGGCTCAGCCCGGGCTGTGGAGCGGGGCTGGGACTCCTTGCCGGGCTTAGCCAGCAACTGCCCTCTTCCGTCCCAGAGAGTAAGTGGCTACTCCCTCGGCCACAGGCTAGGGGCTGCCCACCTGAACCAGGACCCCAGGCCTCCTACTGCAGGCCCACGGATGCCAGCCTTCCACCACGCCAGTCACCCCTGAGGGCCAGTTCTGGATGCCCCCCGGCCTCTCCTTCCACTCTGTGTCTTGTACAGGGGGCCACAGGCAAACGATTTTGAGTTGAGGCGAGGATGACCCAAAGAAACCCCGCATGAGGTCGGGGGTGACGTCCACAGGCCCCTCCGCCTCCCAGTCCCTCCTGCAGCTCCCCGGAGCCCCCCCGCCCCCAACTTCTGCACACACAGTGCCCCAGCCTTTGGCACGTGCCGACCCCTCGGCTGGGAAGGCCTTCCTCAGCTCAGCACCTCCTTCACCAGGGAATGTGCGCAGGGCTCCTCATGGCACAGGGTCTGCTTTGGGGCAGCCTGCACCTGGGCAGTGTCCTGGCCGATCACTGGAGCCACGGCCAGGGCTGGCCCAGGGAGGGGCGGGTCATCTCAGGAGGGCCCTGGGGCAGTGCCCCAGGTGTGAGAGCTCTCAGGACGACAGGGTGCCCTGTCGAGGGCGGCGAGGAGACAGGACACGGCTGAGTCTGTGTGTGGGTGGCCAGAGGAGCAGGACAAGATGAAGCTACAGGGCGGCCAGGGCTTCAGGTCCCAGGGCCAGCGGGGCCTCTGCTGCCCGAGCCCAGCCCAGGCAGGGCCAGCCTTCTGGGCTCCTCACCCCGGCCGGGGATCCCTGGCAACCTGGGCTCAGCCTCTGCCTCCGGCCCCTCGCTGGAAGCTCCCCTGGGTTGGGTGTTCAGGGAAAACAAGACAAAGGGAGCGACTGGGCTCTTTGCTTCTTTAGCAACTTTAAAGATTGAGAAATGAGCCCTGTCGTGTCCAAGCAGTAATAATAAACTGAAGCAGGTGTGAAGGCCGGGCAGGAACAGCTGGGCCATGGCTGTGCACTGGCTGCCCTAATCCCCGCGCAGCCCAGTGGGCATGTTTCCGCCCCACTCGGGGCTGGAATAATCACCCAGCGGCAGCTGGAGGCTGTCGAGTGGGCAGAGCCGTTAACCCTTCAGACGCCCCCCTCCGGCCACCACAGCCCCTGGGGAGGGCCTCCCGGCAGGCACCTAGACACCCCCAAACAGAGAGCACCCTGAAGGCTTTCCAGGGCCCAGAGCCCACTGCCCACTTGGCACAGGGCCCCTGGCTGGTCCTCGGCAGGTCCTCTGGTCCCCAGATCAGGGCCGAAAACTCATTAATCCTCTGGTATGTCTGCACCTCTGCTTTTGTGACCATCAGCTGCTCTCCCAGCCCGGTGCATGCAGGGGGCCTCACTCGGAGGAGCCACCGTGGACCCACAGTGGCCCTGGTTGGCTGTGAGTCTGAGTGAGGGGAGGCCCCCCAGGTGCCCATGGGGCAGAGGACCCTCTAGAAACAGGGGTAGAGCAATCTGGACACCCTCTCCAAGCTGGCTCTGTGCCCGTGGCTGTCACTCTTCTGCTCAGGACCCTGCACCTCCTATTTCTCGGGGTCCTGGGGAGGCAAGAACGATTTCCAGGTTGGCCCCAAATCTGGGCCAGCCGTTTTGCCAATTAGCTGACTATTCTAATTTTGGAACTTTCTCGTGGGCTCTCCATGGGGGCCGCAGAAAACCCTGGGCTCACATCCCACCTGAGCAGGTCGGGAGAGCCAGGGCAGGTCTCTGCGCCTGCGCCCTCCCGCTGGCAGTCTCCCTAGTTTGTGGCTGGATGGGGACTTGACTCGGCAGCTCCCCGGCTCCCTAACCCAGCACGTCCTGTTAGTGCTGGAGGCTGCGCGTGATGCCCACACAGCTGGGGGCAGACGCCCCGCCCCCAGGATCCTGGCCCCTGACTGCACGATGGGGTCCCTGCACCCTCTCACGGCAGATAAGCCTCAGGTAGACTGGTCCCCCCGCCCAGGTCAGGTCTCAGGGGATCCACGCCCCGTGCCATGCCTGTGTGCCCCCATCACAGACCGGAAAACCAATGACCACAAGGGTCAGGGTCAGGCGCGACCAACCCAGAGCCTGCATCCCCCAGGTCCTGCCCAGCTGGGGTCTGCAGGTTTCTAAGTCTGGTCCACAGCCACAGGCCTCCTCTGCCTGACCACGGGGCACCAAGCCCCGACCCAGGTGAATCTCTCGGTGGGCCTGTGGGTGGACAGGCCCAGGTTGCACGGAATACTAGAGACCCTTGGCTCACTGGGGCAGTGGTCACTCCAGAAGAGGAACCTCTTTCTCCTGCTGCCCACTCCCCAGGTGCCCCCTCTGCTCAGCCACCCCAGAGAAAGAGCTAGGCGTGAGCAAGCCTCTGGGCTCCAGCCCCACTCAGCTGGGATCTGGCCGACAGGCCTCAGGCCTCTGCTCCGATTACGGCTGTCTTCTCAGCTCTGCCATCTGTTCTCCTGACCCGGGCCGAGGAGAAGCACTGAGAAGGCACACGCCACGGAGCTTGGCTGTCACCCCGTGCCCTGCCCAGGCTGCTGTGGGCTGCTCAGGGTCAGATGTGCTCTGGCAATTTCAGCAGAGTGGAGCCCCATGGATGCATCATCCTGGGAGAGGTGGAGGCGGGAGGGCCCGTCGAGGTCCTGCAGCTCCGACGGGACCCTCTCAGGGCCTTCAGAGAGGGAAAGACCTAGCCACGGGGCCGAGGGCTCCAGGGACCTCCCTGCCAAAGGGACAGATGATTGGATGGGAGGTCACTCGAGTAGCTGGGCACCCAGTGGGAACCAGCAGGTGACCCTGCTGACCGTCAATGGAGACCAGCGAGCTCCCTCCTTGAGAGGGTCCAGCTCTGTGTGCACCAGCTTGGCCACGTGTCCCATTGGGGCAGGCACAGGGCGAGGCCAACTGGGCCTCATGAGGGGCTGGAGGACCAACCACGGAGCCTCACTCTAGAGCAATTCACGCTGGCCGAGGCCCTGTCTCACTGGACACATCCAGTCAGGACAAGATGCCATTTGGGAGCCCTGGAAGGACAGGCCCGGGCAGCAGGCAGAGGTGTGGAGGGCAGGAGGGGGAGGCTGCCCTCCCCCGAGGAGCCCGCCCCTTCAGGATGGACGCTGAAGGACAAGCTGGTGCTGTCTGGGCACCACGTCTCGGTTTGGTCTGTAATTGTGGAAATGGAGTCCTACTTCCAGCCCAGATGGAGGGCAAGGGGCCGGATTTGCCCTCACAAGTAAACAAGGGAAAAACTGGACCAGGGTCCGGCCCCGTGGCTGAGTGGTTAAGTTTGTGTGCTCTGCTGCAGTGGCCCAGGGTTTCACTGGTTTGAATCCTGGGCACTGACATGGCACCACGCAGGCCACCCTGAGGCGGTGTCCCACATGCCACAACTAGAAGGACCCACAACTAAAAATACACAACTATGTACCCAGGGGCTTTGGGGAGAAAAAGGAAAAATAAAATCTTTAAAAAAGAAAAAAAAAAGAAAAACTGGACCAGATCCAGGAGACAACAGCCCTCAAGACGCTGGACGTCAGGTGACAAAGGACAGGGAGCCCTCAGACAGCCCCAGCTCACTGCCTCAAGAGTTTCCAGCTGTGGTGCAGGCAGGGGACCCAGGCGGGTTGAGGGGCCCCCCGAGGGGAGAGACGGAGCTGGGCATCCTGGAAAGCCAAGGTGGCTGGAGTTCATAGGATAGAGTGTCGGAGAGGACAGAGCCCTGGCATCTGTGGTGCATGGATCAGCACGTGTGTGCAAGGAACGTGCTGAAGGCTGGGGAAGGACCCCCAAGAGGATGGGAGGGAGTCCCGTCCAGAGCTCACACAGCGCTGTGACAGTGCTCATGCCAATGGCCAGGCGGGAGACCTCGCGATTCATGGGGTGTTGGTACAGCACTCACAAAGGTCTTGCCTTCATGGCAGGAATCATTAGCCCCATCTTAAACCCCACCTCACAAACCTTAAACCAAGACCCATGAAGATCAAACTGTTTCTAAGTAACGTAACAGCAGCAAGAATATTTATAAGGATACAAAAAAACCCAGCACCCAAGAGGAGGAAATCCACGATGTCTGGCGTCTGATCAAAGATTACCAGGCACCACAGAATGCAGGAAAGTTCAACCCACGATGAGGGAAAAACCAAGCAATCACAACCAACCCAGGAATGACAGATGAGAGAATCAGACAAGGACATGAAGCCAGTTATAATGGGTCCCTGTGTTCGAGAGGAAAGATGGAACGTGGTAAGCAGACACATGGAGGATATGAAAAAGAGGCACATCAAACTTCTGGAGATGAAAACTATGATGTTGCGGTGAAAACACATGAGGGCTCGATCGCAAAGTAGACGCACAGAGAAGAAGACAAGTGAGCTTGAAGACAT